CAAGCTTCGTGGAAGTCAGATGCTCGGCTCATCTTGGCCAATGGGTCGTCTCTGTCGCTGTTGTTGTCCTCTGATGCTGAAATGCCGTGGCCTTCGTATTGGTCGTCTTGCCATTGGGTTGTTGGTGCGTCGCCGTTGTTCTGTGTCGGTGGCATCGGCATCCGCGGTGGCTCGGGTGGGATGGATTCGTGGCTGTCATCGCATTTTGTTTGTGGTGTTTCGTATTCCTTTTCTTTAAAGCGAGGTTGGGTATAGTTTGCTATGGTGGTAACATTTCCCTCTTGCCGCTGCGCATGAGTCGAAACTATTCCAGGTGGTCTTAGAGGTCCTTCTCGATGTCGTACTGTTCTGCAATCTGCGGTTGTACAAGGTCGGTGCGGACTCGGAAGCCGTCCTTTCTGCATGAACATCGGTGGGTCGTATGTGACTTGTGGTCCAGGGGGGTGCGGTAGGCTGTCGGATGGCTCGGCCTGAATTTGTTCGGGTTGCAGTCGTCGTAACTGACGTTTTTGCTGGGGTAGAGCTCTGTGATGGGCGTAGGTCCGAGGCTTCCAATCATCTGTGGCCACTTGGGGTTGTGTCTGCTTGGTGATTTGGACTCGTAGTGCGTTGGAGGTGTTGGGCCTGCATGGTAATTGGGTTGGAAGCGTGCAGTGCCTTCCCATTGGTTGAGTTGCTCGCACTCAAGGTTGGTGGCGTCTTCTAATTCAACGTATGTAGGCTGTTCGTATGTGACTGGTAGAGTGATGCGGCGTCTCCTCCACCTCTTCCTCCTCCTTCTCCTCCTCCTCCTCTTCCTCCTCCCCGTCCATCTCCTCCTCCCCCTCCCTCCCCTCTTTTTTTCCTCCTCCCTCCACGGACTTCCTATTCTCTCTCCGCACCCTCCCTCTCCGTTCCCCTCGCCCTCCTCCTGCCCCCTTTCGCCCCCCTCCTCTCCTGCCCCCTCCCCCCCCAATGCGCCGACGAGGGCAACAACCAGGATGCCGACGAAGACGGCGACGGCCACGACGGCCGCGGCGGCGGCGGCGGGGCGGCGGCGACGGCAGCGACAACAGCGGCAGCGGCGGCGCCGACGCTGGCGGCGCTGGGCGGCGACGACGCCGGCAAGAGTGACCGTAGGCCGGGGTGACCTTTGGTGCGCGGCCCTGGAGGGCCGCGGGAACGCCCAATCCAAGCGCGCAGGTGAGGAGGAGGAGGAGGAGGAGGAGGAGGAGGAGGAGGAGGAGGAGGAGGAGGAGGAGGAGGAGGAGGGGGAGGAGGAGGAGGAGGAGGGGAGAGGAGGAGGAGGGGGAGGAGGAGGAGGAGGAGGAGGAGGAGGAGGAGGAGGAGGAGGAGCGCTGGGGAGGGACCCCTGTGTTCCCGCACCAGAGGTGCTCCTGCGAAAGGTCACTCTTATGCGTAGCGGGGCGACGGCGGCGGCGAGAGCGCCGTGCCAGCGCCAGAGGGGGGGGGGACTCCTTGCGGGCCCCGCGCCGGAGCGCGCCAGCGGCGGCCCCCGACGGCCGCGAGGGCGCGCGCAGCTCGGCCAGGAACGAGGCGTGGTGGGCGCTGGCCTTGCCACGCAGAGGGCGATGGCGACGCCAGCCAGCGTCGACGCCGACGCCCCGCACCGACGCCCCGCGTCGACGCCGTCACGCTGGCGCCTGACGCCCAGCGACGACGCCTGCGCCAACGGCGCCAGCGGCGACGACGTCGACGCAGGTGAGGTCGACGACGACGGCGACGACGACGCCGCCTGGGCAGGCGAAGAGCGGTAGACAGTGAAGCTTTGTGCCGTGGGTGAGCTTCGCGCCCACCTCAGGGAGCAGGAAAAGGCGGAAGAGGAGGGGGATGATGATGAAGAGGAGGAGGAGAAGGAGGAGGACAAGGACAAGGAGAGGATCGAGCATCGAGGATCGAGGTCGATGGACGCTTGTCGGCTTCTTGGGGTGCCCCTGGGGGCGTCCTCGAGGCCACTGCAGGCTTCCACCTCGAAAATCTGGTCTGGGCGCGCCCCTGAACAAGTTTGGGGAATCGACTTTGGAGGGACTGGGCCGGTCTGGGACACATTGGACCTTGTCTTTTTTCCGAGGACAGGACTGGATGCACGTCCTCGGGCCAGACAGGGCGGCACTGCTAAGAGTGGCTAGCACCTGTTGCCAAGTTACCCATGGCAAGCCAAGCGCGCCGTGTCGGGCAGTTACGAATATATACACAACAAATCTTGGCTTGGGTAAACATCGGGAGCGGCCAAGAGGGGGGTGTCCAAGAGGGGGGGGGTGCAAATCATGACCGGTGGCATGTGCGCGGCCCAGCGGGGGGGCCAGGGACGTAATGACATAAGAAGACGCGCCATGAAATCTGTGGAGATATCATGGCCCCCGCCATGATATCCACCCCCCCCTAGTCATCACCCCCCTCTTTTCCGCCCCCCAAAACAACTGGGCAATGATCTGGCTGGGCAGGGCGGCACTGCCAAGAGTGGCTAGCACCTGCGCCCAGGTTGGCCACAGCAAACTACTGCGCTCCGCGTCGGGCATTCGAGGAAGATTGCATGGGATGCGGCACTCACCATCCTCATTGTCAGCCCCCGCAGTCCGCTCTGTACAGAGCGGCAGGCCCGCGTGGCCGAGCCAAGTCGGAACCAGTCGAACCTCCGTTTCTCCAGGACCCCGAGTTGAGTTGCTCCACGTAGCAGGCCGCAATTCCAGCTTCCACCTCCTCCTCCTCCTCCTCCTCCTCCTCCTCCTCCTCCTCCTCCTCCTCCTCCTCCTCCTCCTCCTCCCTCCTCCTCCTCCTCCCCCTCCTCCCCCCCCATAGTACGGGGCTCTTGCTCTCCATGCCGTCAGCTTGGGGGGGCCGTTATCGATGTGACGCCTCCGCCCCCCCCTCGACCCTCCGTCCTTCCTTCCCACCTCCTCCCTACCTCACTCCTTATCAGGCTCGTCCCTCCTCCTTCCTCTTCATTCCCCAAACAGCTTGCTGAACGGGGTGCTGTTGTGATAGAAGCCAACTCCGGCCGAGGGAAAGGAGAGCAGAAACGTCCTCACAAAAATCTGATGGTCCGCGCCGTTTCGCTTGAGACATCCTCACAACTCTCGTTTCTGAGTTGGCCGGGATTGGCCGTTTCGCCTGAGACAGCCTCGAAAAGTTGCGCTCCGGGACGCCGCGCGAGAGGTGGTCCGGCCCGTTTCGCTTGAGACATCCTCGAAACTCTGAACCCCGAGGTGCCGTGCGAGAGGTGGTCCGGCCCGTTTCGCCTGAGACATCCTCGCAACTCCGGGCTCCGAGATGACGCTTGCGAGGTGGTTCGGCCTGTTTCGCCTCAGACATCCTCGAAACTCTGAGCCCCGAGGTGCCGTGCGAGAGGTGGTCCAGCCCGTTTCGCCTGAGACATCCTCGCAACTCTGGGCCCCGAGGTGCAGCGCTAGAGGTGGTCCGGCCCGTTTCGCCTGAGACATCCTCGCAACTCTGGGCTCCGAGATTCCGCTTGCGAGGTGGTCCGGCCCGTTTCGCCTGAGACATCCTCGCAAATCTGAGCTCTGAGATGCCGTGCGCAAGGTGGTCCGGACCGTTTCGCAGAAGACATTCTCGCAGTTCTGAACTCCCAGATGCCGCGCAAGAGGTGGTCCAGCCTGGGGGCCCAGAAGACGACATGTTAGATATCCCCCTCTGGGACCCTGGGAGCCCCAGCAGGCCCAAAGGAGCTTCAGAAGGCCGCAGGACGCCCAGGACAGGCCCCAGGGGTCCCCAGGAAATTCTCAGGAGGCTCCCAGGAGGCCCCCAGGAGGCCCCAGGAGGCCACAGGAGGCTCCCCAGAACGTGTCAAGTTAATACGCATCCGGTGTCGATTCGTTGATTTGTTCTGCTCTTGTGGCCCACCCCCCATTTTGGGGAGCCACCACGGCCACATGTTAGATATCCCCCCCCGCAGGAAGCTCCAGGTGGGGTCCATGAGGCCACAGGAGGCCCAGGAGGAAGCCCCAGGAGGTCCCCAGCAGGCCCCAGGAGGCCCCCGCAACCTGGAGCTCTGAGACGCCGCGCTCGAGGTGGTCCGGCCCGTTTCGCCTGAGACTTCCTCGCAGCACGCTTCGCCCGAGACATCGTCGCAACTTCAGGGTCCGAGATGCCGCGCGCGAGGTGGTCCAGCCCGTTACGCTGGAGACATCCTCGCAACTCTGGGTTCCGAGATGCCCTGCGCGAGGTGGTCCTGCCCATCTCGCCTGAGACATCAACGCAACTCTGAGCCCCGAGATGCCGCCCAAGAGGTGGTCTGGCCCGTTTCACTTGAGACATCCTGGCGATTTTGCATTCCGAGATGCCGCGCAAGAGGTGGTCTGGCCCGTTTCGCCTGAGACACCCTCGAAACTCTAAGCTCTGAGCTCCCGCGCAAGAGGTGGTCCAGCCCATTTCGCCTGAGACATCCTCGCAACTCTGACCTCGGAGATGCCGCGCGCGACGTGGTCCAGCCCGTTTCGCCTGAGACATCCTCGCAACTCTGGGCTCCGAGATTCCGCTTGCGAGGTGGTCCGGCCCGTTTCGCCTGAGACATCCTCGCAAATCTGAGCTCTGAGATGCCGTGCGCAAGGTGGTCTGGCCCATTTCGTACAAGACATTCTCGCAAGTCTGAGCTCCCAGATGCCGTCCAAGAGGTGGTCCAGCCTGGGGGCCCACAAGACCACATGTTACATGTTACATATCCCCCCTGGGACCCTGGGAGCCCCAGCAGGCCCAGGAGAGCTTCAGGAGGCCGCAGGACGCCCAGGACAGGCCCCAGGGGTCCCCAGGAGATTCCCAGGAGGCTCCCAGGAGGCCCCAGGAGGCTCCTTATCAGAACGTGTCAACTTAATACACCTTCGTGCTGGACTCTGGGCTCGGAGATGAACTCCGCAACTCTGGGCTCCGATATGCCGTTCGGGATGAAGGGGAGGAGGAGGAGGAGGAGGAGGAGGAGGAGGAGGAGGAGGAGGAGGCGTGTTCTAACATGACATGCCAGCCCGCACTGGACGGGCACGCAATCGACCTTGGAAACCGCAGTGGGTGTAAAAACCCTGTTTGGGGATACTGCACTCTGGCTATAATCTCCTGAGCCTGGAGCTCTTGTTCCTCATCTCTGGTGCATGGGGCTCTTGCTCTCCGTATCCGAAGCATGTGGCTCTTGCTGTTCGTGTAACGCATCAGCCTCACTCACCTCGCCGCTCAATTCTTTTTCCAACCCATATTCAACCTCACGCATACGGGGACCTCTCGGACTCGTGCACACAGACAACTCGCACTCATGCTCGCTCGCACTCACACCCGCTCACAATCAGATCCGCTCACAATCAGATCCACTCAACCTCAGTTTAGTGCTACTCAGACTCATACACACAGACCGCACACGTTCACACTCAGACTCACTTGCACTCGGACTCGCTCACACTCAGAGTCGCTCAGGCTCGGGCGGATTCGCACTCATATTGATCCTTCCCACACCAATACTCGCTTTCCAATGACGGCGGGTGAATATGTTTCGCTCTTCGTGTTGTTGTTGTTGTTGTTGTCGTTGTCGTTGTCGTTGTCGTTGTTGTTGTTGTTGCTGTTGTTGTTGTTGTTGTTGTTGTTGTTGTGTTCGTTTGTTTGTTTGTTTGGTTCCGTTGTTGATGTTGTTGTTATTGTTGTTGCTGTTGTTGAGCTCTCACTTCTGAAGAATAGCTGCATATCGTCGATCCCCCTACGGGGCACATTCGGTTTTTCAGAAAAAGTGCTCCTCCCGTGGCTCGCAGCCTGTTTTTTACAAGGGGAGGTCTTGGGTCTCAGAGTTGCTTTCGGGAACCAATTCACAACAGCAGTGGCTCCCGCCGACTACTTTCTCACAATGTATTCCCACATGGTGCTTTCGCGCGCGTGGATCTTTGCGGCCTTGACACTCAGGAATCGCGCTCTCGCTGCGGATGCCCTCGCGATCTATTTGGGAATCGCGCTGCAGCTAGAAACATCCTCACGATCCATGCAGGACGCACGCTTCAACAACCCGCCTGTCCTTTGTCCCTTCCCTCCGTCCGTCCTCTCTTCTCCTGCCTTATCAGAGAAACTATGGATTCAGTTTGTGTCGGGGTTTCGGTTTTCTGCTATGCCTGGCGGCCCATAGGGGCCAGACGGATCGCGAGGAGGCGGAGGAGGAGGAGGAGGAGGAGGAGGAGGAGGAGGAGGAGGAGGAGGAGGAGGGGCCATCTGTGGTTGTGGCTCCTCGCGTTTCTCCGGCCTGCCTCTCTCCCCTCCCCCTCCTCCCTCTCTCCCTAAACCCCCCTCCCTCCTCCTCCCCCCGCCCCTCCCCCCGAAATGGGACGAATTACAACCGACTGGTCCCAATTCCAACCGTTCGGAGCGAATTGCAACCATAAATGGGACCAATTACAACCATGGGATCTTCAGAAGTACTTCTTTCTTCTTCAGAAGTACTTCTTTCTTCTTCAGAAGTACTTCTTTCTTCTTCAGAAGTACTTCGATTCCTTAGGATTCCTTATGATTCCTTAGGATCCTTAGGATTCCTTAGGGTCCTTGGGATTCCTTAGGATCCTTAGGAATATTTGCGAATCCATGGGGGTCCTGAAAAATCCTTAGGGGAAGAGGGCGCTTTGGGGGCCTTCTTGAGGTCTCTTTGGGCCACTCTTAAGGCCCTCTTGGGGCCTTCTTGGAGCCCTCCTGGGGCCCTTATTGACTTTTCTTGGCGCCCAAAAAGCCCTAGAAGGGCCAACTTTCGAGGGCTGCAGGAGGACCAACTTTTGAGGTCAATACTACGGACACTACTACTACTTCGACCTACTGCTACGACTTCTGCTACGACTACTCCTGCTACAGCCAATAATACTACTTCTACTCCTACTACTACGACCACTACTATTATTTCCTGCTTCCACTATTACGCCTACTGCTTTCAATCTTATTACTTCTACTGAAGCGACGCCGACTACTACAACTACAACAACAACGACTACTACTACTAGTACTGCTATTCCTGCTACCAGCACTACCACTTCTGGTACCATGGCCACTACTATACTCACTACTAGTACTACTACTACTACTACTACTATTACTACTACTACTACTACTACTACTACTACTACTACTACTACTACTACTACTACTACTACTACTACTACTACTACTACTACTACTACTACTACTACTACTACTACTACTACTACTACTACTACTACTACTACTACTACTACTACTACTACTACTACTACTACTACTACTACTACTACTACTACTACTACTACTACTACTACTACTACTACTACTACTACTACTACTACTACTACTACTACTACTACTACTACTACTACTACTACTACTACTACTACTACTACTACTACTACTACTAACTACCACTACTACTACCACTACTACTACCACGGCTACTACCACTACGACTACTACGAGTCTTGCTTTGCTTGCTACAACTACTACTACAACACTACTCGTACCACTGCCAACACCACCATTACTACTACTGCTACTACTCAAACTACT